ATTCACAAGATGTTGCAAAACTAGTATGGGGAGGCTCATCATTTTTTTTGTACAGTGTATTTTGTTTTGTTTGCCTGTTATTATGTCCTGTTCCTTGACTCGGAGCTACCCTGGGACAAGGACCATTTGACAACTCATACTCACAATAACTTTGCTTAATGAGTGCTTGAGATGTAACATTCCAATAAAGAGTTGGACTGTGACCAAATACCCTTCAAGTCATTTTAAAAGTAGCTGGAGGAGGGAGATGCTTCTGAGAAGGGTTTCAGCAATGCGGCCTTGCTGAGACCGGCTGGGACACAAGGTCAGGCTGACCGATCTGGAGGGCAGGTGAGAGGTCAGACTATTCTAGCTTCATGATGACCCTGAGTGTCAGAGACAGTCATACGAGGAACGCATGTGCCAGAGAGAGGAAGGGCCGGGAGCTACAGACCCTACAGGTCACTGAAGCTGAAAGAAACAAAGAACAGCTCCCTGTCCTGCCTCCTTTCTGGCACATGAATTCCTTGGGTGCCCGTGCCTGACATTCATGGTCATCATGGAGCTAGTACGTTCTGACCTCTCACCTGCCCTCCAGTGTGGTCAGCCTGACTTCATGCCCCAGTGGGTCTCAACAATGCCGTGTGGCTCGAAACCCTTCTCGAACGCATCCTCCTTCTCCTACTAATTGTAAAGTGACTCAGGGGATTTGGATTAGGGTCCAATTCTTTATTGGATTGTTACATCCCGTGAAGGTTGTCACCATGATTGGCTTCATTTGCCTTTTGTTACTGAGGAAGTTCCAGTTTGACAAAGTATCTCACCTAAAGGTATGGGCCCCCTGACCCACTGCTGCTTGCCTACCTGAATCGTATTCAGTAACCATCACCTTCTTCTGAAGCAGGCAACTAACCCTAGTGACAGACCAACCTTTGCCTCATCTGCATTCATGAGCTGTCCGCAGAGCAGGAACCCCTCATATTGGCTCCAGGGAACGGCAGGCTCTGGGAGGTCTCGGAGGTAGAGCTTTAACAGGGAGGCCACTGTGTGCACATCTGTGTCTCTGGAAGAAAAGAAGCCATGCTCTTTGAAAGCAGAACTCCGGAACTCTCCTCACCTACCCACTGGCGATCCGCTGAATAGAATCCCAGGTTCCAAAGAGGAATTTTGCAGAGGAATAGAGCCTGATAAAAGTGTGTCCAAACAAAATACATTTGCTAATTCCCCCTTCTTGAACAATAACCCCCAATACTTTTTTTTCTCTGTCTCTTCTACCCAACTGCCTCAAAGAAAAGTTCAAGGTCTATTTTTTTCATTAAACCTTCAATCGTTTAGTCTTCATTGCTTTCTTCTTTCTCCAAGTCACTTAGCAGCCCACAATTTAGCATTCTGTACTTAGTGTCTCATTTTTCATGAGATAACTCCTTTACATCCATGGTCCATTGATCTCTTTGATTCCTCAGAGCCTTAAAATAGTTCTGGGATTCATTCATATATGTATGCAATCATTCATTCAATCAGTAAGCACTGAAAGAACCTACTAGGTGCAAGATACTGTATCAGGCTCTGGGATTTCAGCAGTGAACCTGAGGTACACACAGGATTGCTCATCTCGCTGAGCCACATTACTACAAAGACTCAAACATTACCAAGTCATTGCAATACTGTATAGTTAGTGCCATGATAGCAGAAGTCCAGAACTTGGACTTGCATAGAATATGAGAAATGGACACTCAATGTGGAGTTGAAGGGTCATAGGAGACTCTTCAGACAAGGTCTGTAGAGTGATGAAAAGTTACAGCATGTAGTGGGCAACACGTGTATCAGCCTGGAGTGTGGGGAGAGGGGGAATTGAGCCAACATTGACATGATTGCCTGATGAGCTATAAGAGACATGGGCTCTTCAGCTCAGCTTCTCTGGGTTTCAGCAGCGGTCGACACATCATGGATGGCCCAGGAGCCAAATCTGGCCCACTGCCTATATTTGTACAGCTTGTGAGCTAAGAACAGACTTGACATTTTTAAATGGTTGGCAAAAGAGCTCAAAAGAAGAATATTTCATGGCATGTGAAAATCATATGAAATTTGAATTTCAGCATCCACAAATAAAGTGTTCCAGGAACACAGCCGTGTAAGTTTGTTTTTATATAGTCTTTGGTTGGTTTTGCGCTATAAGAGCTGAGTAGTTGCAGCAAAAACCATCTGGCCTGCAAAGCCAAAAAATTTCATGTGTAGCTCTTTAACAAAGCTCTGCTGACTCCTGGTTTATTAGACCTATTGGATTTATTTCACAGAGAAAATAAGTCTCAATCTACCATATCCTTGAAGAAATATTGATTTTGTTCATATCAAGAAAAACCAGTATTCTTAAGAGGCAGTCCTGGTAGTATCACAAAATCTGTCATGTATGAGAGGTTCAGCTAATCTGAGTGTCTCCTTGGTTTCAGCAATGGGGAATATAGAATCTGCTGGGTGGAAATACCTCCTGGAGAAGAGACCGGAGGGGTTGATTGGACAGGAGGAGAAGAAGGGATGCACTGAGGCAGCAGAAACGAGAAACCCAGGACTTGAGTATAAAGCTCTGTGTTGTCATTTTGTGTACATTTTTTGTTTGTTTGTTTTTGATAGGTTGGGGCTGTCTTCTGAATTTACAGCCTGTGAACTCTGTGCCTCAACAGGAGAACTCAACTGGCACGGAGTGCTGCCTATGCTCCACTGATGCACTCAGGAAATCAGGGGTGGGGATTCTGGAAAAGCCTTTCGCGCTGAGTCACTGCCTAAAAATACCCCGGACAAAGCCCTCTTGTCAAAATACACAAGAAGTTCCCAAGAAAATGTCAGAAAGACAACCAGCTGACACCCTGCAAGAGTGGCATTCTCCTAACTCCCCTGTATCACAGTCCACGCAGTGGTCTTAGTCAGAATCTAGGGTGCCTGGTTTGATTGAGGCCTCCCTGTCACCCCACATCCAATCAGTCTCCCAAATCCACTCAATTTTACTATCCAAATGTCACGTGAATCACCCTCAACCCCGCCTCTCCTTTCTCCTTCCCATTTCAGAAGGACATCATCTTTCTCCAGGATGCTGCCCAGCCTCCTCTCTGGCCTTCTGCCTCCTGGGTTTCATTCTCCGATGCACCATCCCTGGCCTGACATGGCCCCCAACACACAAAACACACCAAGGGAATGAATGTAGAAAACAAAGAATTTAAAATGAGAAGAACAACATGGATGATACATCCAAAAACAGACTCTCTTGAAGAGAAACAATAATAAAAGAGAGACACTATCAGATAGTTTAATCAGGAGAAACTAAGACAGCAAAAATATCCAACATTAG